ACAAAATTAGAATTTAATGACCAATAGATTAAATATACGTTCTATAATTATATGCAACTCTACTGCAACAGGGCTTGAATGTAAGTCTCTAGCCAACAGCCTTCTACTTGATTGTTTTACATTCACTTTTTACACTTTTATAACCATTAGTACTTGAAGTGTAAAGTTTTAGGCCCATCGTTTAGAACTTTAAATGCTATAGTCATTGTTTCAAATTATGAATTCGTGATTAATTTTAAGGTATAAACTAATTATTTTTTATTCATGTCTTTGCGACTTGTTCTTTAGTTGTTGACTATTAAATATTTTAAGTATTTACATTTATTGTTCTAAAGAGTTTTATTAAGTTTGAAATATGAGTAATTTAACAGATATGAAGAAAAAATATTATTATTGTTTTAAATGCTAAAATTCGTATATTTGATGTTTTTTTTTGTTTGTTTTATAATATTGGTGTTCCTTTACTTTTTGTCTCTGCATTTACATTAGTGAAGATAAGATAAATCGTCTGATAATTCAGCAAGTATTAATACATTAGTATTGTGTTGCTAAGCTCTCAGTCAGCATTCAATTTTTACGTGATATTCTACTTTAAATACATCTTCTAACGCTAGATGCCGCTACTTACAAAAGGTAAATTAATATATTCTTTTGTGTGTGTGTGTGTGTGTGAAGTATCTATTATGCACTAATATTATGTTTGACTAAATTAATAATTAAAAAGTCAACAACACTTAAAGACAATATGAAAGCTAGCATGAAATAAAACGTCGTATTATTACAGCGTTATTCAACTAGTCCATGCAAACACAAACAGGTCAATTTTAATATAATCGTAAACCAGCCATAAACTGTTTAAAACACAATACCATAGCTATGAAAAAAATCGTAATAGTAAAATATATCTTCCAAAGTTCACACAGGAAATTAAATTACACAAGAACAGATTTAGGTAAAATGCAGCAGAAAATGCAATTACAAAAAATAAAAGATTGTTGAGGTTAAGCTCAAATCTACACAATGGGCTATCTCTGCTGTGCCTATCGGGGGGTATCGAAACCCGATTTTAACATCTATGTCCTTAGACTTACGGCTGAGCCAGCGAGGGACAAACAATAGAAGAAAAGTTACTCTATAATGTTGTTTAGATATTTATTTATAATTACATATTAATATTCAACCCATCAATTATAACTTAGTTTGAAATTAGTTATAACATTTTAAAATTTTTAATTACTTTTTGTTACTTGTAAAAAAATATATATAAAAAAGCAAAGGATCTGTTTCAAGACTCTACCTGACTATTGACTATAATCTAAGCTCATATCCGAAATCAATAAAAAATGGATTCTAAATGTCTACAACACCCTAAATGCTGCTCTTAAACGAATTATCAGAAGAAGAAAGAAAAACATATTTAGAAGCATGTATACACCAGAGCTCTGATAACTATGGATTGGGTCAAGATGATTGATCTGTCCAGAAATGAGTCTGAAAGTTTATGGGTATATCTGTAATAATAATAGAAAGAAGAAAAAGTGGCTAATTCTAGTTTCCTAAAAGATTTAGAAAAATAGGTTGGCTAATATTTCAACGTGTGGTGTTCTACTGATACAAAATTGCTTTACTTCTATTGCAAAATGAATGTAGACTTCCTAAATTTCATACAGTTCCTGCATCTATGAGACATAATGGTGATTAGTTGGGAGATGATTTTATGGAAGGATCATGCTTCTAGAGCAGAGTGAATTACATCGAGCTGGAGAAGATTTCATAAATGAAAGGAGACTCCAGTTGCAGAAAACAGGCATATGCTATGGCTGGTTGAAGAGTAGGAATAACCTGACTCATCTCATTGTCAGATTCAGTGATCAGTAGCAAGAGATAATCATAACTGTAGTTCTGAATACGTATCCTCCTGAAAAGAGCAGTCAGTTGGTACAGCCAAAGTTTATCACACGGATTAACACGGCTATAATATGTTTGGTACTATCTTTAGCACAACTGAAAGGCACGACATGAAGACACAAAGTCTGTCTCATTTCAGAGAGCAGTATTGTAGAGAAACGACAAGGAGGAAGACACGAATAGATTTATTGAAAGATGGAGTTGAAAGGCGCAAGAGTATATGTAGAAACCAACACAGATGACTCAGTGGCTTCTACTGAGTTGAATACAATGAAACTCGTGAACGATGAAAAACTTGTCATCATAATCGTATTGTGGTAGAACTCAAGCATAAATGTGTTCCAGTCAAAAACTGAGACTTTTACAAAACTGAATTCAAAGTAAGATGGCAAGAACCAAGGAAACATTTAGCTAAATATTTTGGTAACTTACAAATTTATCACATAATTCCCCAATGAACTTCATCGCCACTGGATGGGTGTTTATAATGTGGACACATAGACTAAAATTGTTTTGTTGGTCCTGCAATACAAAGTTCATTCTGATTGAACTGACAGCAAGAAGAAAACGTATGGCAGTTACAGTTGTGTAGAATCAACATACACATGAACAGGCACTAAAAGGATATCAGCTGACTGTGTAGATGCAGCTACCATACAGAAACAAGACCATTCCAGTTGAAGTTATGTATGGCATATGCAAACTGTGGAAGGTGAGTTTAGGTCACCACAAGATTAAACATTGTATGGCGCTAAATAGAGCCACCAGCCAAGGCCTGAAACTGGAATTGTACATGCCTCTTTTAACTATGGCAAAGTGTGACATCAAAGAAAAAATGACTCGATTGAGTATGAAATACCTAAAGACCACATACCTGCTACGTGCAACTTTTCTAGGTTTTTTTACTAATTTCGATCGTATTGACTCTGAAATGAGAAAAACAAATGGATAGTGAAGATTTGAAACGCGTGGTAGCTATTGTAAAATTGTTGTCTAAATTAGGATTAGGACTTAGAGGCCACGGCGAAAGTTTAAATTCAAACTGGAAAGGTAATTATTTAAGTTGTTTTAAGTGTCTTAGTGAATTTGATGATTTTTTTAAAATAAGATGGAAAGCTGTAATAATCGGGGTCAAGGAATTACAAGTTATTTTTCACATCAAACTTATGATGAGTTCATAAAATTAATGGCCAATCACATTCAGCTTAAATTCACAAACGAACTTAAAAGTGCAATTTATTTTTCCATAATTATTGGTTCAACACTAGCCGTAAGTCATACTGATCAACTTATTCCATAATTATTGGTTCAACACTAGACGTAAGTCATACTGATCAACTTATTCCATAATTATTGGTTCCACACTAGACGTAAGTCATACTGATCAACTTATTCCATAATTATTGGTTCAACACTAGACGTAAGTCATACTGATCAACTTACTTTTATAATAAGATATACTGGGAAAGTTGTTTTTTGAATTTATGCACAAAGCTATACAATGTGCTATCTGTGTTTGTCTGTTTTTTGAATTTATGCACAAAGCTATACAATGTGCTATCTGTGCTCTGCCCACCAC